GTGCACCTCCCGCGTCAGAGTTTTCTTTGGAAAGTTGCAATATTTTCTTCCCTTGTCTCGGCTTCACCGGAAAGGGGCAGATGAGTCACCGCGGCGCGCACAGTCCCGGACTTGGGAGCCGGGAAAGGGGCCGTGGCCGGGGCGCCGCGGGAAAGGTGACTGAGCCCTTTGGGACGTTAATCTGGGGGCCAGACTCCGGGCAGGGAGTTGAGGCTGGAGTGCGTGCGTGTGCATGCGTGTGAGTGTGGGCGCGCGCGTGGGTTCCTCTGCGCCTCCTCAGCCGGGGTTACCCCTCGGGGGAGGAGGGAAAGGAGAAGCTGGGCGCTCTCCTCTCCTGCCTGCCGGGGCTCGGGGCTCGGGGCTCGGGGCTCCGTGGGGAGCATCTGAGATCAGCAAACAGGTGTGATGAGGTGGCACCTGAGCCCCTGCTACAGCCCCTCCGGGCCCTAGGCTTAGGCTGGGGCTGCCTGCTGGAGAAGTCCGCGGGACCTGCGGGGTGTCTCCAGAATGAGGGTCAGTCCTTCCCATCGTCTCCTGGAGCCCTGTGAGTTGCTCTTGCCCTTGACCTCTGAATCAGCTTCCATCTTCCTGACGCACACTCTTGACCTGCTCAGCTTTTCCTCCAGCCCAGGGCCACTCCCCTATGCTTCCTCTTTTCTCAAGAGGCCAGAGTTGGGGGTAGGGAGAGGTTTGGCCTGGTGGGTACCTGGTGAGGACTTGCCCTTCAGCTGTTATACAGACCTGGTCCCAGTGGAGCAGGGACTAAGAATAGCCCAGCTGCTGTCTTGCTGCCCTGGAGGCTGCAGCTGGGCATAGCCAGTGGACCAGGGCCCAGAGTGACCCTTGCTGGGCTCCTGGGAGCATTGATCAGGGATGGGGGTGAGACCCTGGGGGCTTCTGGCTGCTTCTCCTGATGCAGCCTTGGTGTGGACTCGCCTGCCCAAGCCTGGGGAACAGGCTGGCTTATGGGGGTGGGGAAAGGCAGGGGCCAGGAGGTGCAGGCTGGATAGAAAGCCCGAGGAAACCCATAGAGCAACTTCTCCTAGGGAGTGAGTGGGACCATTTGTGAGGTCACAGGCCCTTTAGTTGGATGGGTCCCATTCCCTCATTCCTCCCTTATCTCCTACCCCCAGGCCTGTCATGGAGCCAGGACTCTGTTGCTCTAAAAATGCTCAGAAAAATGGAGCTTGAGTCAGCAGAATGAGTCTGAAGATAAAAATACAGCTGTGGATGAACGTGCAGCTGTGGACATACGGGCCCCAATTTAGTGGGGAGTGGAGGGAAGTTTTCCTATGCACTCCTGGAGTGAAAGGTGAACTCCCCTGCCTCTCCTGGCTCTCTGAGTTTCCCTGAAAGAGGAAGACAGGGAGGAGGAGGAGCTGGCCAGTGATCCTTGGTGGCCCACTGAGGTCCTTCTGGGCCATTGGGTGGTGGAGGGATGGTGTGGATTCCCCTTTCTCAGCCTGTCCAGGCCTCTGGAGAGAAGAGGCCGAAAGGCGGGGATGGCTGAGGACTCCAAAAGTGAAATTAAGCCCTAGTATCTGGACCATTATCGTCTAATAGCACAACATTATAGATAAAAACCCAGACTGTCAGAAAGTCAGGGTTTATATCTTGGCTGCTCTACTAGCTATGGAATGTTGGACAAGTTACTTAACCTCTTCTAAGTTTCACTGTCCCTGGCTGCAAAATGAGGATGGCGATAACACTAATAATGACCATACCTACTGCGTAGCTTTATTATTTATTAAATAATAAATATAACAATGTAAGCATTTATAAATAATAGTTCTATATAATATATAAAACATAAAAACAATTATAGCTTTATTAAGTCACACGTATAGAGCACCGGACTGACTGTGTTCCTGCTAAGTGCTCAGTAAGTGTTCGCTAGTATTAACCATATCAGTATATCTATCACCTGAGACTGACTGGGCAGTGGCACCCGGCCTGGGACTCCATTCTTGGGCGCTGCTGTAGACCCCGTGTCTTTGGGAGCGAGGTCTCCTGGACTTTGGGGAGTCAGTATGACTAGGGAGGAGGCTGAGCTCTAGAGCCCAGTTGCCTGGGTTTGAATCCTGTGTCCTCTTTGGAAAGTTCCTTTACCGCTCTGTGCCTCCACTTCCTCCCCTTAGAAGAAGGATGCTGGTACCTACCTCACAGTATCACGAGGATTAAATGAGCTAATGAAGGTAAAGTGAGCTTGAGAAATGTCAGCTGCTGTTATCTGGTCACAATGGAGACGATCATTGTGGTTTACAATTAGAGACCAGAGTTTCCTAGCAAGGGAATTACACCATACATAACTATATGCGAACTGTGAATGACACATATGCAGTGAACTTGTGGCCCGGTGCAAAGAACACACCAGGGCTGGATGTCTTGGTCTCTCCCTGTCAATATTGTGTGTGACTTACTTTTTAATCTGTCCAGTCACCCCTGCCCCACTTACCTCCTCTCGTTAGTGGTGATGGAAGTGAATCATGAAGTGATAGAGATGGACATATATTTTGAAAGGGTAAGAGCCTTCTGTGCAAAAGGTTATTTGTTGTGATTTTTAGGGAAAGTGTATGATAGGGAGGAGGTGCTCTGAATGTGGGTTCAGCTCTCTTCTCTCTCCACTGGGACCCTTTGCACTGCTTTCCGGTGTCCAGAAGAAAACCCAGCCTCTCTTTCTTTTGAACAGTCAGTGGCCCTGTTTGCTGGACAGCGAGGGTAGAGGCTGGACCAGTTGGTGCCAGGCCCAGTGTCTCGAGCGCCGATGCCACTTGACTCCCAGCAGTAGGGCTGGAGTGTGGAGCTTTGTCCAGTGTATTAAATGTCCCTGTTTGGGGGCAGGGGCTGGTGACAGAGCCATCACAAGATGATCCTGATATCTGGCCAGAACTTCCTGTTTAATCCCTTTTTCGACTGCCTGGTCTGTTTCCTCCCCGGGGAGAGAAGTGCTGCTGACCCTGAATGACTTGTTGGCCTCTTGCTTCTGATGTTGGAGATGGGCCTTTTGCACCTGTTGGCCTTGGTTTCTGTGTCTGTAAAATGGAGATGATAATATTCACCCTGCAAGGTTACTGGGAGGATTAAACAAGGTAGGCACATTTAGCAAAGTGCCTGCACAGACCAGGAGCTCGGTATATGTTTATTTCCTTCCCGTTGTTAATTCTGGAGACAAGACTCCCTGGAAAGCTGGGATGAGACAGCAAGAAGGGTCCCATAGCCCCACAGTCCTTCAGTCACCAAAGTTAGGCCAGGCCGAATTCCTAGCCAGATAGGACGCCCTCAGGAGCATCCAGCCTGAGACATCAATCCCTCTTTCCCAGTGCTCTCTGTTGCACCCCCCCCCCCC